AATAAGTTTGTTAGTTTCGTCTGAATTTTCTATGAAAAATTTCAACCCGAAAAAATTCAAGTTGCAGCTGCGGGCTGTACACCGCAGCAGAGAACAACAGCAGCAACAACAACACAAACTCTAAACCCTAATAAACCCTAAACCCTAATAAAAAAATATAAATACAACACGCTTCATACCCTATAAGACATATACAGTGCTCGCTTAGTACACCAACGATCTCCCGCAACTGCAGCAGCAGCAGCAGCAGCAGCAGCAGCAGCAGCAGCAGCAAAGGGAGCAGCAACAGCAGCAGCACTGTGCTGGTTGAGGGTGCATGCTCTGTTGCTGATGTAGCATTTCTTTGCTAGTGAGTTTGCTGCTGCTGCAGTTGTTGGTGTTGCTGCTGCTATTGCTGCTGCTGCTGTTGCTGCTGCTGCTGCTGCTGCTGTTCTCTCCTTGGCTGCATCGGTGGTTTATTAAGAGATATGCGGATGCCGGAGGCTGCAAGCAGACACAGCAAAAGAGAGAAGATGCTGCTCACGATAAACAAAAAGAAAACACAAACAAACCATCCAGGTGTACAGACAGCATACAGTGTTTATAAAAACATCGATAAACTATGAACCGCACAACAGCAGCAACAGCAGCAGCAGCAGCAGCTGCTGCTGCTGCTGCTGTTGCACGCATGCAGACTGGATAGCAGCATCACCAAGAGAACTGCAATAAGAGAGAAAAACAGAAAACGAAAAAAGAAAGGAAGAGAAACAAGCAAAGGACAGAAACAGAAAAAAGAAAAAGAAATACAAAAAAAAAGAAGAAATACAGAGTAACAGAAAAAAAAGAAAAATAAACAAAAAGAGTGAGAAGAAACGGAAAAAAGGAAATACAAAAAAAATAAAAAAAAGAAAAAAAAAGGAAAAAGAAAGAAAGAGAAGAAGAAAGAAGCAGAACAGCAACAAAAAGAAATAAAAATAAAATAAAATAAAATAAACAAAAAAATAAAAAAATAAAAAAAAAATGTGAGAGTGTATGATACTGAAAGTTGATCGAGAGGAAAGAACGGACGCCAAGGCGCTGCAGCTTTCGCTGAACCCAGCACCACTACCAAACACACGCTCTGCTGCTGCTGCTGCTGCTGCTGCTGCTGGCGCTGCTGCTGCTGCTGCTGCTGCTGGTGCTGGTGATGGTGATGGTGATGGTGCTGCTGCTCGTGGTGGTGGTGATGGTGCTGATGATGCTGCTGCTGGAGGTGGTGCTGCTGCTGCTGCTGTTGTTGTTGCAGTTGTTGTATGTGTTGGTGTTGCTGCTGCTGCTGCTGCTGCTGTTGCTGCTGCTGCATCTCTGTTTTGTGCAGCTTTAGTTAAATCTGCATGTAAACGAGGTGTATATACACCG